GACACCTTCCCCTGTCCCAGGCTGCTCCAGCCCCAATGTCCAGCCTGGCCTTGGCACTGCCAGGGATCCAGGGGCAGCCACAGCTGCTGTGCTCTGATCCTTGTGACAATCAAGACATGAAGATGCCCTGGATTGTCTAAGTGGAAAAAACACCCCACACTAAACCAAAAATGTTGGGACTACCAGGCAGATCAGTTGCTGTGCCCCTGCCCAGCCGGGGGTGCCACAACCAGGACCCCACTGGGTTTTTACCTTTTCCTTGCTCGTGAGCTGCACATTCAGCCCTGCACTGGGATCCCCAGGGAGGCAGTGAGCATCCCCTGTGGTTTGGGGAGGATCACATCCCCAGCAGGGGAGGTGTGAGCTCCACCATCCCCATCTGGAGTCTGGCAGCCAGTAACTCTTCCCATCACGTGGAAGGGACCCTGTTTCTGCAGAATCACAGAACCCAAGAGCTGTTTAGTTTGGAAGCTTTTGTGAACACCCAGCAGCAATGGGAATACTGAGGAAGGGGAAGGGAGGGTGTTTTACTTGGTGTTAAATACTTTATGTCCAAGATTTGACCTTCAATAGAGAATCAAGTATCGAGGGAGATGGAAATGCCAGGGGAAGAAGTGCACATGGGGGTAGTTTTGTGTACAGCACCCACACGTCCTGTGGGGCTGTGCAGCTCTCAGAGAAGTAACCATGGATCTCTCTGGGGAAAACACAGCTGGAGGGGGGGAAAGCAGGGCAGCCTTGGGGTGCCAGTCATGGACAGAGAAAGGCCCTGTGCCAGCTCTGGGGGTTTGGCAATGCATGGAGGGGCCAGGGTGGAACATGTCCTGTGTGGATGGCACAGGGATGCAGGATCTCCCTGTGCCCACGGGGACTGTCCCAGGGAGGGGGGCAGGCAGCAGATGGGTTGTCTGGCACTGAGATCCCTGATCTGCATCATTTCCAGGGCTTTGTGTTGTGCAGAGTCTCTGAGGGATGATGTGGAGTTCATCTGGGGATGCACAGAGCAGGATTTGTCAGGGGGAAGGTCTCCCCCTCCTGTCTGCCCCTGAGCGAGGATGGGAGCAGGAGGGAAACCTCCTCAGGCTCCTGCTCCTGAGCACAGGACAGGAAATCCCAGTGTGCAGCTGGGGGAGCTGCCTGCCTGACCCCCTGGGCTGGGAATGCCTGTGGGACCACCGGGGTGGGCAGCTGTGCCCCTCACAGGGGTCCCTGCCAGCCTGGCTCCTCCTTGTGCATGTGGCACTTGGGGACATGGGTTACTGGTGGCCTTGGCAGTGCCGGGGGAATGGTTGGACTCGGTGATTCCAGAGGGGTTTTCTAAACTAAACAGCTCTTGGGGTCTGTGATTCTGCAGAAACAGGGTCCCTGCACAGGTGAGAGCTGGCAAGGCTGGTCTGCAGGTGGGACAGGCAGCCCTGGAGCTCTGGAAAGGGAAGATCCCAGCTCAAGGCTGACACCCAGGTCTAAATTAAGAGGCAGGAGCAAGGACAGGCTTTGTGAGCACAGCGGGCCGTGAGTCATGGATGAGCTGTGTGTCCAGACTGCTGTGGGCAGTGGGCAAATCCTTGGGAGGATGGCTCAGGGCAGACAGCACCACTCCCAGAAGGAGTCTGAAGGGGACAAAAGGGTTTTAGATGCCATGCCATGAGTCAGTGGTACCTGGGCACAGCCTGTGAACCCTTTCTGCCCTGTCCTCAGGGACAGCTGCCAGCCTTTGATGCTGTGGGCTTGGAATCTGCCTGGGGGATCCCAGCTTGGTCCCTTCCCCAGCAGCCCTCTCAGTCTGCTGCTTTCCCTGGGCAAGGGAGAGAGTCTGGGGGTAGGGAAAGCACAGACAGAAGGGGAAAGGGGTTCTGAGCTCACTCCTGAGGTCAGCAGAATGGGGTTTGTTACCTAATTAAAACTGAGGTCAGGCTTTAAGCTGGACCATGGGTGCACGTTAATGATGCTGTGCTGGGCTTAGTAGAACTTTATTTAGCACTGGCTGTGTATTAGCTGTTCTGGAAGGGAAGTCCTAAATATTGACCTTGGCACTGTCAGAGTCTGTCTCAGCCTTTCTCTGCCACCTTCACCAGATGGAAATGAAGCACTTTTGTTGTTCAAGGTTTTAGAGGGAAAAGCAGGGCCTGTGGCAGACAGTTTTGTCACTGCAGATGCCAGGTGCAGACTGTCCCTGCCTCCTCAGGGCTGGAGGCCAGAGCTGCCTGGAATCCAGGCACGAGCACAAGTGCCATCCCTTGGTGGGCAGTGCCACCTGCCCCGTTAAACACTGACAGATTTTGGGGAATGCAAACCCTGCAAGTCACTGATTGCTGCTGCTCTGCACGGCCCTGGCCCCTGCTTTGGTTCTCCAACAGCTTTAAACCAACAGATTCTGGTGTTGGAAACAAGGGAAGAATTAGGAACTGAACACCGAGTCAGGCACCCTTCAAACAGGGGGGAGGGAGGATTCCTGCAGCAGCAGAGACCGTGACAAAGCCATTGTGTGCCACTGAACTGGTTATCAACAAATCCTTCTGCAAAGACATTTCTAATGCGGGGTTTCTCTTTGAAAGACAGACCCAGCCAGGCCCAGCCCCCACGATAATCCCCAATAGCTCTGCAGGGACAGACAATGCACACAGGATTCCTAAAAATGCCCCGGCTGTGAGTCAGTGCCTGCTGTGCCCAGGAGGGACAAGTGCTGGTACCCAGGGGCAGCCTCGGAGCTCAGGGCAGCCTTCACCTCCCTGGAATATACATTTATTTTCAGGGAATATTTACTAAAAGGGTTTGTAAGATCCAGTGCAAGTGAAAGACTGAAAGAGAAATGGAGGCTAAAGGTGAGAAGGAGTCACAAGGAATTGGAGTCACAAGGCTGGGAGGAAAAAAAGTAAAGGCAGAGGAGTGCAAGAGAAAAAAAAAAGTTCGTCAGAAATAAAAACAAGGACAGAAAAAATAGAGGCTGCAAAAAGGTAGAGGGCCAAGAAAGTGTGGGAGGGGGAAAGAAATGCAGAAGCTGAAAAGGGCAGGAGGCCAAAATAAAGTGGGAGGCCAAAAGAAGAGAGAAAAAAAGTGGAGGGTGAAAAGGGGTGGGAGGCTGAAGAGGCACATGAGACAGAGGGGAAGGCCTGCCCAGAGAGGGGTCTAAAGTTTAATGGGTTCCTCAGGCAGGACAGGGCTCCCTGGTGATAAGGCAGCACAATGTCCAATTGTTCTCCCTGCACACCGGGTCAGGCCAGCTTCCTCCGTGCCTGGAGCTGCAGGAACACACACTCTGGGTTTGGGCTGGACTGTGCCTGCAGGAACACACACTCTGGGTTCGGGCTGGACACAGCTCAGCTCTTCCCCAGCCAGACCCAGAGCTCTGCAAGCCCTCTGGATAAACTTTCCTTCCCAGCTCCACCCCAGCCCAGGGGATGAACTTTTCCTCCCTTGCTCCCTGAATGACTTTGGCCTTCCTCCCACTGCTGAGACCTTGATCTTCCTCCCAGCTGAGGCAGCCCCTGATGCAGCTGGCTCTGGCTCCTTGCCCTTGCTCCCAACCAGCTGAGCCAAAGCCCCACGGTGCCTGGGACCCCAGCATGGTGGGGACAGGGACAGGGAGCTGCTGCTGTCAGGGGGGACAGGGACAGGGATAGGGACAGGGACAGGGACAGGGACAGGGATAGGGACAGGGACAGGGCTAGGGACAGGGACAGGGAGCTGTTGTTCTCAGGGGGGACAGGGACAGGGAGCTGCTGCTGCCCTGTCAGGGGTTTCACCTTTGCTAAATGGCCCGAAGGAGCCAGCAGGCTGCAGGTGCTGGCAAGGGAAGGGGTGGTGGGGACAGGTGGCCCCGGGGCCATGCACAGTCTCAGCCTGACACCTGCACCCCCAGGCGGGGAGATCCGAGCCTGCAGAAATTTGTGTTTGGCATCTCTGGTCTGGCTGAGAGCAGCTCACAGCTCAGAGCATGCTGGTGATGAGGAGTTTTGGCTGTCAGGGCCATCAGGATAATCCCTGTGGTGTTATTTCAGTCATAAATCATGGAATCACCACAGAATGGTTTGGGTTGGAAGGGACCTTAAAGCCCACCCAGTTCCATCCCCTGCCATGGCAGGGACACCTTCCACCATCCCAGGCTGCTTCATCCCCTGTCCAACCTGGCCTTGGGCACTGCCAGGGATGGGGCATCCTTAATCATACTTAATTGCCCAGAGAAGCTGTGGCTTCCCCAAACCATTCTATGGTTCTGTGATTTATTTATTTTGCATCAAAAATGATCCATTTATAGTGCTGTGTCACTGCGACAATTTTCCTTTCTGTTTGTTGTTCTGTCTGATTGGGGTTTTTTTAGTTTGGTTTGTTTTCTTTTTAATGGTCCAAATATTGTGTTTTGCCATTTTAAATATTTGGGGTTTAGTATATTTCTATTCAAATCCTGATCTGGGTTTCTGCTTCTACCCAGAGCTTCAGGTGAATTTGCAGCAATTTGGAGATTGTCATTTGGAATGATGCTCCCATCACTGAGCCACTCCTCCCTCCCAGCATTTGGGGGCACCTGCAGGGTTTTGGGGGGCTTTGTCCCAGCTGGGGGGAGCAGCACGCTGCCACCCTAAAGCTGTCCCTGGGGAAGGGACCTGCTGCCTCGCCCTGCACTTGGGAGCCTCCCTGTGCCCGCTGGCCCTGAGCACGCCGGGGGTCTGGGCAGGGGCAGAGCATCCCGGGGATCCCGGGATCCCAGAGCCTGCAGGGGGAATCCGTGCCCTGGGTGTGTGTGAGCATCCCGCGGGCTCCGTGGGGAAGAGCCTGCGGGGGGAATCCGTGCCCTGGGTGTGTGTGAGCATCTCGCGGGCTCCGTGGGGATGTCAGGGATCCCGTGGGGCTCCGTGGGGATGTCAGGGATCCCGCGGGGCTGTCAGGGATCCTGTGCGACCATCAGGGCATCCCGTGGGGCTCCGTGGGGCCATCAGGGATCCCGCGGGGCTCAGCCCCCTCCTGCCCGGCCCCGCCGCCCTCCCGCCGCCCCCCGCACCTACCGGCGGCTGCGCGGCGCTCCGGCTGCGGCTCCCGGGAGCGCGGGGAGAAGCGGCACGGAGCAGGGCGAGCGGGGATGGTGAGGATGAGGAGGAGCTGCCTCGGGGCGGGGGGGGAAGGGGGAGGCTGATCGCACCCACCCCCACGGCGGGGCCGGGCACGGGCGGCGCAGGGGGCGGCGGCTGCGGCTGACCAAACCCCCCCGGAGGGGATAAAACCCCCCAGGAGACGGAGCAGCATCGGCCCTCCTGCCCCTTCCTGCGGCCCGGGACATTCCTGCGGCTCTGGGTGTCTCGGTGCCCTCCGGGAAGGCGATGAACTCCCTCACCCCAGCCAGCCCCGAGCGCCCCGGGCAGCGGGGAGGGGGTCCCTGCCCTCCCCGGGGGGTTCCTGCCCTCCCCATGGGGGTCTTTGCCATTCTTATGGGGTTCCTGCCCTCCCATGGGGGTCCCTGCCCTCCCCATGGGGTCCCTGCCCTCCCCATGGGGTCCCTGCCCTCCCCATGGGGGTCCCTGCCCTCCCCGGGGGCAGCTGCCGGGAAGGGGCCGGGGCAGCCCCGGGGCCATGCCGGGCACGGCCGCGTTCCGCTGGCACCGGGCGAGCTTGGCCTTAAAAGCCGAAGTGTTCGGGAGCGCTGTCAGGCGGATGAAATGCAGCTCCGTGTCCCCAGGGACGGGCGCTGGAGCCTGGGTGGCCCTGGTGGCCCTGCCCTGGTGGCTGTGCTGGGGCTCTGCCCTGGCTGGGGGCCACTGGTGGGCTCGGGGGGTGCCAGAGTGGACTCGGGGGGTGCCAGGGTGGGCTCTGGGCTCAGGGGGTGGGCGCAGATTGGGGTGCGGCTGTGCGGGGTGCGAGGTCGCTGCAGCAGCACTGATGAAGCAGCACTAATGAAGCAGCACTAATGAAGCACTAATGAAGCACTGACGGAGCCCGAGCGATGATTTCAGCGCTTGGCCGGGCTCCACGAGCCCTTTGATGTGGTGATGTTTGGGCTGCGTTATCTAAAGCTCGCTCAGAACAGGCTTTTAGGCGGCTCACGTGGAGCCAGCGTGTTTGGACAGGCATTCCGGGCTGGAAATGCCCGCAGCCCAGACGTTTGGATAAAACATTCCCGAGCTGGCCGTGGTTACCAGCGCCTGCTGGGGACAGCTCCTGGCCCTCCCCACAGCAGGTGGATTCGGAGCTTGCGGGATATATCAATATACTTTTTGTTTCCCCCTTTATTTTTAAGAATCCCGCCCAAGATTTCATCTTGCTTTTTCAGAAAATAAAAATTAGGTATAGCCAAACATTCCTGAATCAAGCAGAAGAGCAGGCCTGGCTTTGCCTCAGGCTCTCCTGGACTAAAGGCATGGGGGTTGTGAGGATGTGGGGAAGATGATTCCTGAATCAAGCAGAAGAGCAGGCCTGGCTTTGCCTCAGACTCTCCTGGACTAAAGGCATGGGAGTTTGTGAGGATGTGGGGAAGATTAGGAGATGCTGGTCCATTTTCTCACTCCCTGCAGCCCAGCCCTCCCCACTTGCCCGGCCGCCCTCGCCCCCGGTCGTGGCTGGCACTCAGCAGCCCTGCTTTGCAGACGGTGTCCTGCCAAATTTGAGTCCTTTCTGCCTGTCCCCAAGGCCGATGGCTCCGGGATGGAGCCAAGAGCCGGAGCGACGCAGACACAGAGCAAACACGGACTTGGGCAGCGGGATCTGCGCCGGGCTCGGGGGAGAGGAGGCTCTGCCAAAACCCAGGCACCGAGCGTGCTGCATGGCCCCGGGCCCTGCACCGAGAGCCACAGGGATGGGGACACTGCAGGGGTGGGGACACTGCAGGGGACACTGCAGGGGACACTGCAGGGGACACTGCAGGGGACACTGCAGGGGACACTGCAGGGGACACTGCAGGGGACACTGCAGGGGACACTGCAGGGGACACTGCAGGGGACACTGCAGGGGACACTGCAGGGGACACTGCAGGGATGGGGACAGAGTGGAAATGGGGAACGCTGCAGGGGTGGGGACACTGCAGGGGACACTGCAGGGGTGGGGACACTGCAGGGATGGGGACACTGCAGGGGACACTGCAGGGGTGGGGACAGAGTGGAAATGGGGAACGCTGCAGGGGTGGGGCGCATTCAGGGGTGGGGGCACTGCCTTGGCAGCAGCTCTGTCTCCCCCCTGCCCTCCCCAGTCCAGCCCTGCGTGGGCAGTGCCAGCAGCACCTGCAGCAGGTGTCTGTGCTATTTCTCAGCTCTCGGGATGAATTTGATGGGTGCTGCTGCTCCAGCTCCTCTCGTGTCCCTGCCTGTGGTAAGCAGCCTGCTCACCTCACGCCCACCAGTCCCACCAGTAACAGCTCCGGGGCTGTTGGGAAGCACAGTGAGTAATTAACCACAGAGCCCCGAGGAAGCTGCAGGTGCTGCCCTGCCTGGCCCCAGGCATGCAGGCAGTGCCTGTGAGGGCAGCAGAGCCTCAGCCCTGCTGTCCCGGCAGCTCCTCATCCCCCAAACCACGGTCCCACAGCAGAGACCACTCAAGCAAAACTTCCTGCACGTTTAGAGTGAGACTCTCGAGATCCTCCAGTCCTGCTTTGGTTCCATCCCTCCTGAAGTGATGGTCCTGGGGGCACGGCTGTGCCCACAACGAGCTGGAACAGAGCCCCCTCCTGCTCCTGCCAGCTCCCAGAGCCGGGGCAGAGGAAAGGAAACCCCGGCTCTCCTCAGCACCACACACATGGACGAGCTGCTGAGCTCGGCCAGGAGCTCAGGAACCAGGAACGTGCCGCAGACCCTGTGGGAAAGCGCTGCCAAACCCCCGGGAATCAGTGACGCTGTGCCAGGGTGGGAAGCGCAGGATGCTGGAAAAGGCACTCACCTGGGGAGGCTCGAGGTGCGCAGGGCTGGGCGCTGGGGGCGGCTGGGGGGCAGCGATGCTGACCCGCCCGGGGGAGGGCAGGGATGTGCTGGGGTCACCCTGCCCCTCGCTCCACCTCCCGAGCCTGGCAGGGGCACAGCCCGGCCCCTCGCAGCACTCGCGGCTGCCCCCGAGCCGGGAAGGCACCGGGAAGGCGCCGGGTCCCGGCCGGAGCGGCCCCGGGGCTGGCACTGCCGGGCTCCGCAGCCGCGCAGGACGGGGAAGTATGGATGGATTATCCTTCGCCTTGCTATTTTTTTCCTCTCATGTGATCTTGTTTTTGGACGGCTATTTTGGGGCTGGACTCCAGCCCAGGTGAAAGACAAGGATTGAGTCCAGCCTCCCCCTTCCCGGAGGCGCTCCCAGGACCTCTGCCCGCCCGGCGGCGGCTCGGGGACAAACCCTGCCACCAGCCCTGCCACCAGCCCTGCCACCAGCCCTGCCCGCGGCCAGCTGTCCCCGTGCTGCTGCAGAGCCCTTTCTGTGCCCTGCTGCCCCGGGCAGCGCTCGGGGGGCTGATGGAGCACCCCGGCCCGGTCACCGCTCCGTCCCGCGGCCACCCTGCCCTGCGACATCCCCAGGGCTGGCGCTGGCACCGGCGCGGCTGCGGGCCCGCAGTGTCCCAGCAGCGTTTGCCTCTCGGTGCCCGTTTCCCCCAGAGCAGCCTGGCAGGAAGCTGCCGGGAGATAAATGCATTAAAAATATGCTCGGAGCGTGCGGCAGCCTGGGGACGAGCCGCGGCGAGCCCTGCGCTGCCATCAGCCCCCGGTGCCACCAGCGCCGGCAGGACAGGGACAGGAGGGGACAGCGCGGGAGAGGCACGGCAAGGGACTTATTTAATTGTTTTATTATTCCTGCTTCCCATTAAGCAGTTTTATGTGAAATAAGGAATTGATCATTTACTCTCACCAGGGCCAAAGCTTTCCTCGTGCAGTCTCTCCACATTAGGGTGTTTATCATAACAAGGGGGATTTTGGTGACCAGAAACTCCTACGGAGCCACTTTTCCCTTCAACAACCTTTGAAGAGGGAAGAGGGGGAAAGCTGCTTTATGAAGGTAACGGAGGTTTTAATGAAGGGAAAGGCGGATAAAACGGGCCGGGAAAAGCCCGAGGCGGAGGGAGGCGCAGGGAGAGTCCGGGGCCGCCAGAGGGCACCGCGGAACCGCAGCAGGCACATCTGGCACAGCTGGATGGGAGGGCACAGCTGGATGGGGACGGGCACAGCTGGATGGGGAGGGCAAAACTGGATGAGGACGGGCACAGCTGGATTGGGATGGGCACAGCTGGATGGGAGAGGGCACAGCTGGATGAGGACGGGCACAGCTGGATGGGATGGGCACAGCTGGATTGGGACAGACACAGCTGGATGGGGACAGGCACAGCTGGATGGGCAGGCACAGGGCAAGGCAGGGGGCACAGCTGGATGGGGACGGGCACAGCTGGATGGGGAGGGCACAGCTGGATGGGCGGGCACAGGGCAAGGCAGGAGGGCCCTGCCAGGGTGCACAGCTGGAGCCGGGGCACAGCTGGTCTGGCTGTGGCACATCTGGCAGCCGTGGTGCATCTGAGGCCCGCGCAGGGGAGGGTGCAGCATCCACAGCTGGAGCACAGCTGGGTGGCAGCAGAGCTGGCTGCTCTGGCCCAGTGGCAGCGGGTGCAGCCGTCCCTGTGCACAGCTGGAGTCACACCGAGTGGACATCTGGCGGCCCAGGGTACCTCTGGGGGCTCCCCAATCTGCTGCAGCTGCCCCAGATGTGGGCTCTGTTCCTGAGTGAGCACGGGTGGGGTTGGGGCTCTGCCAGGCAGGAGCCTGGGCCTCACTAAGAGCCTCTTGCCCTCCCTGATCCCTGCCAGAACCTGTCACCGGCCCAGGCAGACACAGGACAGTGATTGTGTTTGTCTTTGCCATGGTGTTGAACGTGACTCTCAGTCCTGGCTCCTTGTCCAGGATCCCTTTGGAGTTTCCCAGTCCCTGTTTCCCAGGAGGGAGCAGCCCCTCCTGAGGAATGACTCCCAGCCTTTGTATTTTAACAAATGACCTGAGACACTGACCCCAGCGTTGTTTACTCGGCTGGGCATTAGCTCAGAGTCAAGAGCTGCCTCCCAGAGGGCTCTCCTGGATACCCTGACCAGGAGGCTCTTCTGTAATTACATTCCAGGGAAAACAGACATCTCCTGATTCATTTAATATGTGCCATGTTGCATTTAGATATGTAACAGAAGCCCCATTACCTTAAAAGTCCTGCTGTTATCAAGTACTGACTTAATTACAGTTTTATCTAAAAATAGATCAAGTTAGCTTGACAGAAGCCATTTGTCCTCCTCCCCTGCAGTTCCTGCTCCATCATGAGCAATCCCCTGCCACAGCCACAGTCTTGTCCCAAGAGCTGCTGAGATCCCACGAGCATGCTTGCTTTTCCCTCAGCACAGTC